CAATTTTGTTCATAATAAAAAATGTACGGTAAAAAGATTTATAACAACGGTATGATAACAAAACTCCATTAATTACCAGAAAAGAAGAATTCCGTCTAGTTAAGTAATATATTCTATGTTTACTGGAATTTTCTTTTCTCAATATATATATATATATATATATATATATATATATTATATATATATATATATATATATATATATATATATATATATATATATATATATATATATATATATATATATATATATATATATAATATATATAATATATATATATATATATATATATATATATATATATATATATATATATATATATATATATATATATATATATATATATATATTTATATATATTTATATATATTTATATATATTTATATAAGGGTTGTCCCAAAAAGTCATTCTATGATCATGAATTTCAATTTCCGTGATCATAACATATTTCATAAGAAAATAATATGAAAATGAAGAAAACCTAAGAGAGTACATCGGCGCAGGAAAGCAAGCGTAATTTATGTCCCTTATAAGGTCAAGTACTATCCCGTGTGCTTAACACAGGTTTTGGAGACCAGGTCTTTCAAAACTCTGTTGGGATTCCCATGGGTACTAATTGCGATCCGTTATTAGCAGACCTTTTTTGTATACATATAAAGCACGTAAAATTTATTCGAAATCTTATACATGAGAAGAAGAAAACACTTGCTGTAACCTTCAACTCGACATTTATATATATCGACAAAGTGTTAGCAATTAATAATAGTTATTGATCTCGCCTCTGTTTTCAGAAGTCCATGTTTGCTCTGTTCCTGATTTGTATTGTTTCAATAGACTTTTGAGTTTGAATACTGTTTGTTACCTCCATATTTCATTATTTCCTTTCATATGTCCATACGATATATCCCAGTGAGCTTGAAATAAAAGATACCACAGAGGCTGACACATCTCTTTCCTATTTGGATATTTTACTAGAAAAAGACGTTAATGTTTATCTAACAACCAAACTTTATGATAAATGTGATGAATTTAACTTTTCAATCCTCAACTTCCCTTACTTATGCAGCAATATACCCTTATTGCCTGCTTATGGGGTTTCTATCTCTCAGTTGATTCGATACCCAAGAGCATGCTCTACGTACGAACAATTTCTAAAACGAGGTAACTGATTGGCAAACAAGTTGAAGAATCAACAGTCTTGTTTAAAATCATCATTTCGTAAGTTCTATGTTCGATACAAGGACCCTCCCTGTCAGCTAATACTGGAAAAGTAAAACCGATGATACAGCGCTGCATCTAAGGGAATAGGGTGATAAATGAGTTTGTATGAAGATGTGTACACTTACTGTCAATGAATTCATAGCACGACATTATAAATTTGAATGCAGTTATCCTAATAAAAGAGAATTTAAAGCAAAGGGCGTTTTGTGGTGTGTATCTTCACACTATTTATCCAGTAACATCACTGAAACAACTTAATTTGCATGGAATTTCGGTAGCGGTGAAGTAAGAATAGATTTTCCTGTCATTATAGACCTTGATAATGTTAATTACAACCAACGAAGTTCTACTCCCACAAAATGACACTAAATAAAGATTTTCTGTGTCACTGGCGTCCAATGAAAGGGACCTTTTGAAATTTACATACAGCTTATAGACGAGTTTATTACTAGTTTTATATGTTTTGATTGTCTTGTCTACTTATTAGTTGACTAATGGCTAATCTTCACAGAATATAATAATGTTTTATCGTCAATATGAAACAAGTATTAAATTATTTAGACAAAGAATTATTATGTCATAATTTTGACATTAATAAAATAAAGGAACACCTTCTGCTGTTAAATTCCTTATTGCACATAATGCATTTAATGGATTTAGAAATTAATAATATTTCTTCCAATCGATGAAAAAAAAAAGAAATAAATCTTTCTCATTTGTTGATATTTTCCACTCTTTTGTCAAGGTGCGTATTTTGCAAAATTTCTTAATTATTTTACTAAATGTATCGTGCTTAATATGAATCTAGTAAATAAAAATATTTCTTCCAATCCTTGTTGTCTATCGTAATTATGCAAATAGTACAATAGTTAAATGTTCATGAGTAAAAAGGAAGTGATGGGGTTTAACATGTCAAAAAGTAGCCCAACAGTAAACTCTTAGTGCAGGAAATGTGTATTTCGTAATTTGGTAGACTATATATTATGAAGCCCAATATTATGAAGCAGAAAGGTTTTCTATCAAGGTTCAGAAGCAAAGAAGATTTTTAAAGTTTGCTTTTAATCAAGAGAATCTATTTCTATCCCAAAAGTCTTCAGGTTTAAGTAATTAAATTTAAACATTTTTTTCTTATTAGAAGAAAAAAACTAAAATAAAATGATCAAAAGGTCTACAAACAACGATTGATGCTGAATAACATTTGCTAATAGATAACAATACAATTGGTTAAGGGCATTTATTGGAAATATTGGATGTCAGTTTAAACATGAAAGGGAGTACTGAGGAATTATAAATCTTTTTTAAATCACTAAATCAACAGCATCAATACACTTATTCTTGGTGTATTCCAAATTGTAACTGTCATCAAATGGCATTATATGCGTTGTTTAAAGCTTTACTATTTGACATTCAACTTGTAAACATGTAACCTTACCTTCATCATTGATTGATACATGTAAATGATAATGCCAATGATATGAACATTTGTTTGGGAACTTTTACCCAACTTTGTATTTTGTTACCTGTTGGTATCTGGTATTAATCAGGATTTCAGATATCCAAAAGGGGGGGGGGGTATTTTTATTTTTATTTTAATTTCTCTTATGATATTACTTTTTGTTGAATTTAAAAAAAGATGGTTTACCCCCAACATCTCGGTTTTGTGTACAGTGAGAATAAAGGGGCTACTAAACAAATGTCAATGAGTACTGGTCTCATATGAAAATCGTTCTGCCTCGAAAAACTTCCACCTTGAAGATTAACTATTAGGTGAAACTTTCAACCCAATAACATACTTTACAGAAACTTATCTCCAGACGATTTACCTTATTTAAATAAAGGGATGGTTTTCAAAAAAAAAAAATAAAGGATTTCTCTGACATAGAAAGTCATTGCCCCTTTAAAGAGTTTTTATATAGAATTTTTTATAATTATTTTAAAATTTAATCTGCACAGCTTAATGGTTATACCAGCTTTGATGTTCAGGGGGTTTTTTCAATATTTGTTTTGTTTTCATGATATAGGAGATTTATCACAGTTCGCTATCTTAACCTTACAATTCTGTAAATATGATAAAGCCGTTAATCAAGCAACATATTTTTCGGGAATCTAGGAACATTTAAAGTATACTTTTAATAATATCACTAATGCATTTTTTTGTATACCTCATTTTGAAAAGAAAAGCAATGCATCTATGGGTGATTTAAAAAAAAAATACAGAAAAGATCGTTTATTTAGTTATTATTTATTTACTGTTTAAAGTTATTTTTCTTTTATATTGTCTGTGTTATTTCATATTTACCAATCATCATATAAGAATGATCCATTAAATTATATAAATCATATAATAAATAATTAAATAAATTTAAGATTATAATTATATAATACAAGATAAAAATCGATTCCTTTTCAACTAGACTGTGTACAAGTTATGTCCTAGAGATATAATATAAAAAAAAACTTTCAAAACACGGTTGATACCCCAGTTTGTTATATTTATTTTAAAATTCGATACCAAAACAATTACGATAGTGTAGCTCCAAATTTCACATTTGTCACATCCAGGAACACAAAGTTATTATAATGAATTATTGGATGTATGCATTTATTACATTTTCAACAGTGCAATTCTGAAATTAAATCCATTGAATAAAGAGGTGATGTTTTTGAAAGTGTTAACGCAAAACACTTCTTGTTGTAAGATAGCCAGATTAAATAAATTCTAAAACTATTGTTTCTCCAAGTTGTTGTCAATATCTATGCTTACAATTTTCAACCTCACATTCGCTAGGCTATCACGTCTCGAAAAAGTTAAATTATGACGTCACGTCCTACGACACTGCGTTGAAAAAATCGGAGAGGCAAAGGAAATCAAAGAAAATGTTATTAACAAAAAAATCAAATAACTGTAGTTGAATATTGAATTTATTTCACAAGTCGGACAGGATTTTTTTTTAAATATCTTAACGAGTGCTTCGCCACTTGTGAAGTTATTTTAAAAATATCCTGTTTTACAGGTGAAATAAATTTCATATCAAACTATAAAATATTGGATATTCTCTATTTATGGTTCTTTCTATAATTATCAAGGTATGGTGCACACAACATGCACCTATATCAAAAGACTTTTGTGAAAAGGTTAAAAAGTTTCTTTGATAGTCTCCTGTAAAAGGATATTAGTTGAATATATTAATATGACTACATAAAAAACGGATTGCAGAGATGAAGGAAGGTTTTGCATACGAAAAAAAAAGTAAATGGAAAACCTCTTTACCCTGGAAAAGAAAATCTTCCGGGAAACTTTCCTTTGGGAAAGGTGTACTATATGGCATTAAAAGTTAAGCTTTCTGCAATAGATTGGAATGTGCATAAAAAGCTGTTTAATTACACTCGCACGTTTATATGGCTGGTTTGAAATTATTTTCTTTCCTGATCCCTTTGTGCAATTTTCTGTAAAAAAAAAACATATAATTCAAATGGTAGACCATTTCAAAGAGATATGGGTTCTACAAAATCTGTTCATGCTACCGAATCGGTTCACAGAAGAAATATTTAAAGCGTCAATTATTTTTATTCTATGCAAAGAGAGTTTGAAGATATATTACAAGCTATATTTCATTATTTCAGCATCGATAATCCAATGAAAATTTTATTACCAAAATCGTCAACAATATACTATGTTATCGTTGATGGCATTAGCTGACAACATTTATCACACAAACATCTGCTCGTTCCTAATTTGCTAGAATCAACGAAGCGTATTACGCTCTTTGATCAGTGAACTTGTTTATGAAGTGAAAGTAGTAGGAGATCCAGAGAGAGGCTGGTTAAATATACAGCGACATTAAAATAATATCTGAAGTAATTTACTTATCTCTTTCTGGATTAAGTACGACACTTCTCCCTTCTGTATTTAATCATTCTGTCAAGCCCGCTCTCCACTAGACCCAGAGAATGTTCATTACTCCATTCCTAAAGATTCTCTTGCTAACCAGATATCAAATGTCCTGCAGCAGCCTTTTGTATATCGAAGGATTATCATGCATGTTTTGATCTTGATGTTGGTGTGCCTAGACATTTCGGTGTGGATTGTATACAGTAGTCACCAGAATCCCTATTACAGACATAGAGGTGAGTGGATTTCAAAAGTCTGTTTTCATCGTTTTGATGCCAAAAGATTGTAATCAAAGCCATTCTCAAATTAAATTGAAGAATTGTTTCGAAAATATACCTTTAATAATCGATATTTTTCTTTAAACAATTATTTTCATCTTAATAAAATCGAAGGAATATTTATTGAAAACTTTTTTAAAGACCAGTTTGAAAAACTTCTTACAAATTGCGTAATTAATTAGTAATCACCAAACACCTGTGGCTTTATTAACATGGACATAACTAATTAGTGAAATGAATGTATACCGATAATCAGAAATGCATGTTCAGAAATTCTTCAAACAAATATGAATACCTGATTCCAAATGCATACACCCTATTTTACATTATTACACAAAATATACGGTCAATATACGTAAAAAGGTAAACTGTATATTATCTATTAAAATCTTGTAGAAGTGTTGAGTAACATTTTTTGGATATTAAATATTATTGATATTCTTATCCTTAGACATCATGTAAAACTTCATTGTTTTAAAAATTCATTTGTTAGCTTAATTCAAAACAAATTTATATATTTTTAATTGCTTTCAAACATTACGACCTACAGTGCAGTCCCTATGTTTTCCATACGTAGTTGATTCAGTGTGTTTTTGACAATAATGGACTTCTCTAATATCAAATTAGACACATTAGATTTCTAAAAAGGATCCCTGTGTATTCCGAGCAAATTATTTTAATGTCTTCTTTTGACGAGAATTGCTAAATGCTTTTCTTTCTTCACAACATGCGTGATGAATTCGAAATAAAACTAGCTGACAGCACCAAAGAATGGCGTTGATAGTCATTTCTAACAAAACAAAAGCATTAACAAACTGGAGTTTTACCTAAAATTGTCAGAGTTAATGCCTTAGTTTATGTCTATACATCAGTTAGTTAAAAAGTATGCCTATGTTAGGATACAATACAAAGTTTTTGTTGTCAAAGTGTTGGATTATAGATGAATTTAAACTCCAGGGTGCCACTGGAAAAAATATGCTTTATTTTTAAGTTAAGGAACAAAAATAGCAAACAAATAAAATTTGGTACTCTTGTCATCGATTATATAATTGTGTATTTTACAAATATAATCTGAAATTGTTATTCATTGGCATAATGTAGATGACTGAATTATTATATTATTGAGTTGGTGATTATATTATTTTATTATAGATTCAAATTGACAACATTGCTCTTCCTCTCTACTTTAAATCATGTGTGAGTTGTCGACATGCATAAAATATTTCATTTATTTAACCGGCAGATATGTTCTACATAATTTGTAGAATTTCGTTACCATGAGATCACTTCTTTATATATTTATCTGACAGACAAAACTTTTTTCTACTGTAGAGGCATTTCATAAGACAAAGCGTGTTAAGCCACAAAGTCCTTTTTTTCTTAACATTTTACTTCATTTACAAAGAATAAATTTGATAAGTTCCTATTTCTAATAATAAAAATCAGTATAAAGGAAGAAAAAAGCACTAAATTCTTTTGGCATTTTTTCACGACTTACTTTGCATGTAATTTTTTACTAAGGTTTCAGGAAATAAAGATACATTTTCTGGAGTTGTAATATCTTCTGGAATATTTCTTCTTCTGTGAACTAGAAAACGCTGACTATTCGTTATGAATCCTTATATATTACCATTTTTATCATGCATGAGTCAATAAGGTGCTGAAATTTATGTACATTGCATATCAAATTAATTGAATATTTAGCCAACGAAAAGGATCAAGTTCTTTATTTACTTTTTATTTTGAAAATCAACATTATATTGATCGAATTGATAAAACTAAGTATGTGTTAAGGTCACCGGCTAAAGATATATAATGCAAGACATACAGAATGCATATTTCGGTTAAACACGCTTACTTTATAGTGTATTTTTTTGTGGAAAAACTTTGTATACGACATAACTTGATTGGATTTGCATTTAATTTTCAATTGAATACTTCTGGAATCATTATACGGATTTTTTTTTATTTTGGATAATCAGTAATAAGAAGCTCGATAATGCAATTAAAATAAAACAACATTTATGTATTGTTCTTAATTTGCTGTAACATAGGCACAATGAGCGACAACTCAAAATTTTGTAATTTTTCGTTTGTTTGTTTGTTGTTGTTGTTGTTGTTTTGTTTTTTTTTTGTTTGTTTGTTTGTTTGTTTGTTTGTTTGTTTGTTGTTGTTGTTTTTTTTTTTTGTTTTTTTTTTTTGGGGGGGGGGGGGCTGAAATAATTCACGTGTACATCAGACGTACTGAGAAACTTTGCTAAAATAATTTGACGCATACCTTGTATTTGTTTGCAGGTAATAATTATGCTACAAATATCCTAAACGCCATACATATATTAAGAAATATATACTTATATTAAGAAATATATCACACATACCACGCGTTTATTTTTGGGTGATTTTCAACCGATCCAATCATTTGTCTATGACGGATTTAATACATGAATATTTTCGTTCTCCAAATTGACGCAAAAAGGCGAAATTTATTTTTGCCAAAAAAAAAAAACAATTGTAAGGTATATTAGGATTTAGTTTTTTATGTATGACATCGAAGAGATGTGAACGACCATCAACGACATAAAGTGTAACTTGCAAAGGTGGATAAAAATCACTTCATAAAAATAAAATCCAGGATACAGATAGAAAAAGCATGCTTCTTCCTGCTGCATTCTTTAAGAAAAACTTGGTCTTATCCTAATCCTTACTCCTATTTGTCTTCTATAATGTGATAGAACTTAAACTTTTCATTATTTTCATATAGATTATATATTTTTCTTTAAATTATTACAAAACATATGGTCTTTTTGCATATTTAATGAAAATATTAATTACTGTTAAAGACAAATTTCAGACACGTACTGTCCTACAGCATATTCTAGAAGTTATGTAAATCAGATGTAAATTCTCAAAAATTACAAAGAACTTTAAAACAATTTATACTCCAATTTCTCAGAAGTCAGTTACATCAAAACGACCGACTTTTCTACACTTTATACAACCATTCCTTACGATAAATTAAAAAGTTGACTTTTTGAAATTATAGATAATTGCTTCTTTAATAAAAATGGGACTCAGAATTTTCCTACCTTGTGATTGGTCGTCAATAAAATCACTTCTACAAACAAGTACTTTGAAGTTGATATATGAAGGATTCTGGAGTTCCTTATTGACAACATTTACTGAATATGTAGTCTTAGGAGACCAGATCTTCCAACAAACTGTTAGAATTTTGATGGGCAGTAAGTGTTCTCCTTTATTAGGCGACCTGTTTCTATATTTATATGAAGCAGAATTTATTCAGAAACTTCTACCTGAGAAGAAAAAAACAATTGCTTGTGGCCTTCAACTCGACATATATATATATATATATATATATATATATATATATATATATATATATATATATATATATATATATATATATATATATATATATATATATATATATATATATATATATACATATATATATATATATATATTATCGACGACGTATCATCAATAAAAATTAGTTACTTTCATTCATATGTCAACTTGAAATAAACGACACCACAGAGTCTGCCACATCTGTTTCATATTTGGGTGATTTACTGACAACAGACGATAAGGGCGAACTAACAACTAAATTGTGTGACAAACAAGTTGATTTCAACTTTCCGATCGTCAACTTTCCTTATTTATGCAGTAATATCCCGCCATCACCTGCATATTGTGTTTACATCTCCCAGCTTATTCGATACTTAAGAGCATGCTCCGAGTACGATCAATTTTTAAACCGAGGTAGGCTACTGACAGATAAGTTGATGTTACCGGGATTTCAAAAACCTCGTTTAAAGTCAACATTTCGTATATTTTATGGTCGTTATAATGACCTTGTTAGCAAATATAACCTATCATTGAGTCGTTTTGGCCGACTAATTATATAATATATATAATCATACTAATTGTTAGGCCTTTCTTTTTATACCGAATTTGACTACGAAATGTTCCGTCTACCTGATCAATACACAGGGCCCAAGGCGGATGTGACCCGTCAACAGGGGGTGCTTCCTCCTCCTAGGCACCTGATCCCACCTTTGGAATTTCCATGGGTCCGTGTTTTATGCCCTCTTCAAAGAATTGTATTGTTTATAGATTTTTTGAGATTGATTACTATTCGTTATATTCACATTTTCATCTTAAGGTAATATTTAAAGGGCATCATTACACAGTCGTATTGTCACTTTGTACACTGTACCTTTAAAATCATATAAGAAATAAATACACTGAATAAACCAAATATTTTTATCAAATTAACTTAACAAATATAATCTTTATTCAATATAGTGTGTGTGATCGTCTTTAGATGTTATCTCAAGTAATAGCTACTATCTTTAAGAAATTAAAACTAACAGAATGACTGTAAGAAATGTCTTTTTTTTTTGTTGTAGTTTTAAAAAATGAGAACACATTAAAATGGAAATGGCTTCCGTATACACTCGACAATTGGGACTCTTAATAAATACACAAAGTTTTAAAAATCCACATCAATCACAGGCTATTTATAGCATGACTTTTCTTTCAACCTTATGCGCTACTCATTTATTTCCTATTTAAGCACGCTTTCCTCTTTAGTGTTCTAATAGACTTACTACATTTTATTATATTATCCATTTATTCTTCTTTAAATTTGCATTTATTCTTTTGCTGATCTTTTTATATATTACATTTTGCCTGCAATGGAAATCTCAATAAATAAGAATAATTCTTTTAGGATTTGTATTTGTTATTTGTTTTTGTAATTAATCTCATAGAATAATAGCATACGGGTAAATTCCATGGCTGTGCATCATATATTTCTTGTGGAAACATACTTTATAACGTTATCGAAAGTTGCCTTATTTGACATTTAAACTAAACAAGGATCTATTGTACTTAATTACAAGTGAATAACGTGCAAAACGTTGATTGCAAATTCA